CGCGTGCAAAACATGGCACTCTTCAGAGCAAAACTTTTCCATTGCTCGCACTACAAAGACAAGATGCAAATAACAAATTGGCAAACTTGCATTTTAGAAGATTCTGCACTTATCTGAGGGAACAGAAACATTACCACAAGATTGCTGAAAAAAATAGATTGATGATCTAGTTGCGTGGAAGATGGGTATGGTCAGCAAAGGCATGTTCTCTCTCATGAGCTAAACCAAGGGCAAATTCGTGGCCCTGCTGAAGCCCAGGGGAGGCTTGATGGGACTCACCCCAAACTTTATTAGCATTACTCCGGCAGAGGCATTAGTGAGGTCTGCCCTGCCTGATGCTTCCCTCAGACAATTGTCAATGAATCGGTGGTTGGGAAGATCCCTGTTGGTGGGGATGAGATGTGGTGCAAGGTGTAGCGTTAATACCACACAGCGTCCACTGGTGGGGAAAGTTGGGCTATTCACAAGGGCCATTCAGAGCAGAAATGAAATGTGGATGCTCTGATTTGCCCTACAGAGGAGTTTATCAAGCCCGGAGATGGTCACAGCCCTCTGAGCTGCAGAAATTGGATACCTGATGTGAGGGACAGGAAGATGCTTGCCTGGGCAGGGAGAAAGGCATGGCCAGATTGCTGGGTGGCCTGGGCTTGAATGAAAGTGGGACCTGGGCAATTTTAAACCTGGGAACTATGAAAAGAAGCTATTACAGGACTTCATGATGTTAATGTCATTTTTCTGACCAGATCCACTCAATAACTCTAGCAAATCCCGATGATGAGTCAATTTTCTATTGTTAGTGCCAGCACAGAGCAACACTAGAGACCACAAGGCAGAGAGGGAAATGCTGAGACAGCCTAATTGAGCATACAGCTCAGCCTAAACTACTTGCATGTTTTGTTTTGTTCTGTTAATTCTTCAAAAGAATTGGAAAAGGATGGCAAATTTCCCCAGAAGTGAAACAAAACCACAGGGGTCTTTGTGGATTAAATGTTTCAAGAACTAGTAAGAATAAATGTTTTCCTGTTTTCACTCTGTTTTCTGTACCTTAGGACCAAGCCACGTAGGATATTTGTTGGGACTCCCAAGTTTTCTTATTTGGACTCTGTTCTTTTAGAGAACATGTTTTGCAGAACTGTGCATCCCAGGGAAGGAAATTAAGGTCAGAGACGAGAAAAACCCACCTAAGGGCCTGAAATACTTTTAGTTTCTCAAAGACCACCCTGTGTGGCTATGGTAGATTTAAAAATGGGTGGAACCTCTAAGTCTGGAGTTGTATCAAGTTATTCATGAAAAATCTCTGAGATCTTTGTGTGGACCAAGATATTTGGGTGGTACTTTCTCACTCTTTCTTCAGAAGAGGCACTGTGGCCTCACAAACTGAAAACCAGCCCTGCTTTTTCTTTGGCTTTAAAAATAACTGTATATCTTGAAAAGCTGTCTCAGCAGTCGTGAAGGAGTGGAAAAAAAAAAGTGTATTATATCCCCATGGTTTCATACAGTGCAGCTGTGCTAACAGAGTGCATTGAGACTGAGACCAAAGGAAAGGCATGAAATAGTCCATGAAATGATCAGCTGAATCTAACAGTAAAGCTTCATGCAACGGGGAGATCTATTGTCCAGGTATCCTATTGCAGATGGGAGTTTTTTGTCCTTTTTTTTTTAGGGGGGGGGGGGGGGAATCCAGAATATTAATAAATTCAAGCCCTTTGTATTAATAAAATTTTTAATTAAATGAATGGGAAAGTTATCTTCTGAGAGGAAGTCTACTTTACTTTGAGTTAAAATCTTTACATATTCTTAAAATATATTTGGATTAAAGATCCATATACTGTGGGATTAAAAGTTTTTATTTTACTTCTGGTTGAATGTCTGTAGGATGATGATCAGATTTGAAAACAACCAGGTCTCTAGATTTATTAAATCAGTTTAAAAAAAAAAAAATTTTTTTTTGAAAGAAGCAAGCATGTATCAACATATAGCTTTCAACAGTCCGTGCTAGGTCTTCGGGTAATTATTAGTAGTACAGGAATAATGGAACAAGTATCGACCAAATGCAATATGCAGTTGCCACAGTGGAACTATTCCCCCTGCGTCAACTCTGAAGTACAAGTGGTTAGTTTATAACCCTCTTTAGGTTACAACATTTTAATGTTTCTTCAGTGTTTATTCATTCTCTTCCCAAAGAATGTTCTGAAATATCGAGTTTACAACCTGTGGCTCATGTGATGGTAGTGGAAACAATTAAGGTAGAAGCTTTCAAAGCCACCACTGGGATTTTGATGCCCAAACTCATTAATTTTAATAAGAAGTGAGCTGCCAGTTATCTTCAGTGGTTTCTAAAATCTCAACCCATAAAAACACCTCTCTACTGGTTCCAGTTTACTAGGAGCTCAGAGCAAGGTAAACACATGTAACAAAATAGTAGGTGTTAAAAGGTGGAAAGTATGTGTTCAGATGTCTCTAAGACCATTCAAGGAACCAAATGGCGGCATCAGCCTTGAGCTGGTAGATGTGGGCTGACGTGGGGCCTGCTCCTACCTTCAGCATCTCTGGGAGTTACTGACTGATCAGAACATGAGGCACAGTCTCAGTGGCAAGGAGAAGAAAGTCAACGGAAACAGAAATCTTGGCAACAGCTCAGTTCCAGCTGTGATGATCACATTGTCTGTCTACTTTGGGTTCTCATGTCTGCTCAATGCTCTGGCCTTCTTAGCATGCTTCTGCCCACCACAAGCGTAGTGGCCCGGGTAGTGCTCTTATCCCCAGTGTGCAGATGGACAGCTGGGTTGCAGGAAGACCTGGGTGAATTCACACCACACAGTGAAGAGCAGAGGTATCCAGCGCAGTACCAGAACGAGCTGTCTTTGGGCAGTATCAGCCAGCTTGTATTCCCATTGCTTTGGCGTAAGTGCAGCAGGCAATGAGGCTGGGGCTTTCTTGCCACCCGTTGCTGCCTGCTGTCATTGCAGTTACCCGCATGGTGTTTGTAGATGCTTGGTCTAGGTCCTTCCTACCTGCCTAACTCATCCTATCAAAGTTCACACTGTGTTATCTTCCAAGCTGCTAAATGGCTGCATTTGCATGTTGATACTTCACTGATCCACCATCGTGGTTGGATAAAAATTAAGAACTGTCTGCTGTGGCCTGAGGGACCCACCCAATGCAAACCTATGAGAGCCATGCCTTTTACATGAGTCTGGAGATGGCTTTGCTTCAGCCATGAGCCTATGTCACAGCCTAAGAAGTCTTGAAGACTTTGGAGAACACCAAGATCTCTCAAACAAAGTTGCTATACTGATAAGAACTCATCTTCAACATGAATCATGGAAGAAAGTCTTAATGGGGAAAAAATCCAGAACCAGCAGATCTCACTGTTATGTAAAACAGAGCATGGAGTGAGTACGAGTGAGTTTGGAAAGGACTCACTGAGAGTCTGAATGCTTGCAAAAAGAGAAAAAATAATGGGATTTTCTTGTGTCTTTTATTAATGAAAGCAACCTTGGAGAATTTTAGAATTAAACAAGTGTCTTTCTTTTCTGTATCTGTCATATGATCTCTGAAGAACTTCATTAATGTTGGCTATTAGTGACAAAGTTACTGTAGTTTTTGTCAGTGAGTCTCATATTAGCAACGATTAATTACCAGTAGCTATTGGAAGGACGTTTGGGTGAAACATGATGCAGTGGAAATAGAGATGACCATCTTGACTGCTGTCATAATGGACTTCAAAAAAATCAAAAAGAAAAAAAGCTGCTATTAGTAGTAGATGTGACTTTTTTGGAAGAGAACAAAATGTTCCATAAATGAAACATGTGGTTTCACTTGCAGCACATTTTGTACATTGTCACCAATGAAATTTAGGATTTTTTATTACTTTTTCATTAAAATGTCTTACTGGTTTCACTCAGGAGGCAAAACTTTTCACATGGCTTTAATTGTTTCTGTCATAAAAGTCATAGCATCCATGTAATAGAAATAGTTTTGCAGACCACAGCTTCATATTGCCTATTAATTCTCTTCCATTTTCTGTACCTACAACTCATTGGGCCATCCCAGAGACAGAAAAAGTTCCTCTCTTGCAATTAAGACCAAACAGAAACTTCTACTGAAGTTATGGGGAAAAAAATCACTTTGTGTCAGTAGTGGTTTATTAAATTTTTGTTTCAGATATCTTAGCTCACAAATGTAAGTTCACGTGGCCACATATGAAAGGAGAGAGTTTGTATTGACTTTTCTCTAAAATTAGTGAAACTCTAGAAGATGAAAACAATAAAAGGCCTTTTTCTGCAGAGTTCCAGTCAGATGCAAGAGGTGGTAGTATTTTAAACAGGAATGAAGAGCTCTGGCAGTATTGTTTCAAGGTGGCTTCGGACAGGTCATTTACCCACTGTTTTGCTTCATTTCTCCATTATACAAAAACTGCTAGAGTGCAGGTCTCACATATCTCATCCCAGCAGCCTAGCTATTAGACCATGCTTCTGTCATCAGTCTGGGCTTCCCTGTCACCAATCCTAACTCGGACGAAGAAGCATAATTATTGTTGCAGTCAAAACAATGACTTGTTTTCCACAGATGATATCCAAAGTTGAAAAAAAAAAGGGAACTACTATTATCTCATTAATTTAAGATCCACTTCTGTTAAGGTATCTGTTTTCCTCAGAGAGAGTCACAATTTTGCCATTTAACCTTCAGCCCAGCAGGGGAGGTGACATTGACCCTTACCGCAGGCTCTAAAGCCTGTAAGAAGTAATTAAAATGCCAGAAAACAGCAATAGCGTATCAACTGCCTTTTCCCACTTTTTCAGTATAGTGTTTATTTGAAAGCTTGCTAGGAAATGCCACTGCTGTCTTTAGATGCTGCCCCAGAGCAAAAACCTTTCTCCTTGCATACCTTCTTAGCAGTTAGGAGCACCCACCAAGTGGCGTAGTCCTCTGCTTTCACTTTTTCTTAGCACGATCCCTCACTTACTCATCAAATGTTTAAATGTTGTGTTTTGCAGTTCAAGGACAACAAAGACAAGCCCAGCCTTGAAAGGGTCCTCAGCAACAGCCCTGCCTGCTGTCCAGCTTTCTGAGCAGGTCCCACTGACGTCTCCTTCCTTGAAGCCCCTGCAGATGGACAACGAAGATAGCCTGTCTCCTCACCTCCTGTTGCCAGATAGCATCAGCCAGCTGGAAGAGTTTGGCAGGCAGAAGAAATGGCACAAGAAGCACCACAAACACCATCGCCAGAGGCAGTTCAATGACCTCTGGGTTCGGATAGAAGACAGGTGAGTCATAACTTTTATGGTCCCTATCCTCTTCCTGCTGGCTCCTAACAAGCTGCTCTTTACAGATCCCAGCTCTTGTTGATTAGACCATAAGGAAGCTTGGAGAAAGGCTAAATGGGAGAGACAGGGAGCAAGGTGATGTTTTTGGAGCCTAAAGAATAACTAGGAGGAAGGCTCATAGGGATGTTTTATCTAAAAGTAAAGAGAAAAAAAGCTAATGCTTAGAGTATCTAAAATATACAGAAACAAAGACTTGTCAGAGTAAAAACAGGAAAAAAATTACAATGGAAAATATTCTGTGTTTGCCCTCTTTCTTCCAATAATTATTTTCCAATCTTTACTGTCAGTTTTCAGCCCAAAGACTCACCCATTTTCCAACCATGCAGAATATTCCTGGGAATTTTTAAGGTTCTGACATATCTGACTTTCAGTCTTCTTAACTGTGCTCTGGGGCTGAAATGTTTTAACATCTCAGACTGCATTGAAAACAGCAAACTGAGGCAAAATGAACTACTTAACTAAGGCCTCCATGTGAAGAGAATGGAGGTAGGCACATTTCCATGGCCATTCTAATCTTGGTCCGAGGTTAAAAACTCACAGTGTTTGAATAAGAGCCTTCATGTTTGACCTGGGCTTCTCGATGTGTGCTTTTAGGATTCCTGGGCAATTTATTCTCCCACCTCTAATACTGGGAAAGCTCTTAGTGCCTTTATCCAGGCCAAGTCATGGGCAGATAAAAGAGCCACAATGTTTATAGATCTCCTAACATGTAAAAGGAATGAAATAATCTGTTGGGAACTGGCTGCTCGCCTATACATGTAATGATTGTCTTTGAGCATTACTCATATTCCCATTTTCATAGCACCTAAATTCCTTGCAAGCAAAATGAGTCAGAGTCTCTCAGAGGCTTCTCCCTTTGCTAAGGAAAAAACTCAACATATTTGTGTTATGGGAGTCTTTTTTTTTTTTTCCATTCTTTTTAATGGAGCAGTTGCCTCATTTTTTTTGTAGTTTATTGTGTTCTCAGGGTGAGTGATGTAAGGGTCGTTATTAAGGTGGTACATATTAATCTTAATGTAGTAAGGCTATTTCTGAGCTTAATGCCAGCTTTGGTAAGAAGGATTCATGTGTTTTGTTCTCAAAGTGTGTTCAGTGGTTGGATCCTCTCCACAGAGGATGTTTTAAGCATGAACTGAGAGGCATTTGTTTCAACATAGTTGATTGCCCCAAGGACAAGGGACTTTTCTTTCTTCTGCTTGGGGCCCACTAAGTCATGGTGTCCGATGATGTCCCAGCATTTCACAAGGGTGTCTGGTCCGGCTCACCATATGTGTCATACAAGTGAAGTGCTTAAATAGATCTGGTGGGAGCCTGATAGTTAGGCACAATCCTCCTGCCCCTATCCTATCTATCCAGAAAGGATATGGATATTGGGCCTGATATGGCTGTGGAAATGTGTAGCTGGGAACTTAAAGCAGTGGTGCTTGCATAGCTTTGGTGGACTTTTGTGCCTTTTGCTGTTTTTATTTCAGTAAGAACTGTTCCTAGGAAAAGTATTTAAAAGGGTAGTTCCCCAGGTTAAAGTTAAATTATTCATTCTGTGCTCCTGTGAGATTTCATCTGAATCAAAACCTTTTATCCCTGTACTTCTATTTCATAAGGATGGAGATTGGGATAAGAAAACATAAGTTTCCGCTCCCACCACGCTGGTGATGAACCAGACGCTGTGTGTCGCCTGCCTTGCTGAAAGATCCCAGGGAGATATTAGTGGGAGATCACAGCCCTAGAAATGAGGAAAGGATGGAAGAAGGGAAGTCTGCCTTAGTGCTTTCAGATGGTTTTAGTGCTTCTGCAGTTCTGGAGTAACTTCTGGTGTTTTCCTGGAAACAAAACAAAACAAAAAATACAAACTGTTCAGCTAAATCAGAGACTCACAACCAGCTCTGGTTTCTCCATAAATTGGATGGGGTCTCAACTTTCATAAACCAGCTGCTGCATATTGTGCTTTTGGCAGTTGGGTTTCATCAGCATTAATTGCAAGCTGGACCTTGCACAAGGCAATAAACAGTGAGTTCTCTCTAACTGGCTCCTTTCTGATTGGCAAGAAAAGAGCAGAAATGTGTGCCTGTCACCAGACTGAAGCGTGATCATTCTTGGGATGAAACAGCTAGGATGGCTAATAATATGGGCAATGGAGTGTTACCTTTGCAGGAGAGAAGCATGTGAACTTATATTGTGTTGCCTCAATAATGTTCACCAGCACTCAACAGTGAGACTGTTAGACTCATTTTTGGAGGATAATCAGTGTACTAGAGCTTCACACTCTGGCCTGTCCCATAGATCCATTGTGAATTTGCATATACTTAAATTGGAGCCCCCCATGTTCTATATTTACTGAGGTCTCTACATATAGTATTACCTTGAGCTATGGCCCCATATTTCCAAATGCTGGTTCTTCCAGTTTGAGTTTCCTAACTCACCTGTTGTCACCTGAAACTTGACTTGTTTACCTTTGAGACAACGTAGAGGGATTTAGGTCATTGTTATGGCTTTTGGGTGAAAGCTGCATTGTTTCCATGTGAGGTCTCCAGAATTCAGCTGTTGGAGCTGCCTTTCAACCTAAAAAGTCAAAGAGAAATATACAGGTGGAGGACAAATCCAGGCAAATTTAAACCAGATTATTGATTGTTGTATGAACCTCATTGAACTGTGAAATTACTGTGGTTCATACAGCTCTTTTCCAAAGCTTTATTGACTGTGGCTTAGAGGACTTTATGAGCCATGAATTGCAGGGCTTTTATGGACTACGCATTTCTAGGCTATCTCATACACTTCCATGGAAATCTTGGGTTGTTTTTTTAAGCTACCAACACAGAAACAAAGGAAATGAACACAGGAGAACAATCTTAAAGGAACATCAAAGGTCTGACTCCAAGCTATAAAAGCCAGAAAATCCATAATTAATGGTTCCACTAAGACTTCAGCTCACACAGTCATTCGGGTCTGATCTGAGGTTACAGCTACAATCTGAAATGGCCTCATGAAAAATGAGTCATCATTTAATGTCTCACATCATTATTAGTACTTACTTTCAGTTATACCTTGGAGATTGTCCTTTCCTTTTTGTTCTGTCTTAACAGCTGAGGCATTTGAGTTGGCACCCGTGAGTGGATGGTGTTTAGATTTGTATGCTGGAGGGTTAGTACTGTATGCTGTAGAGGATGAGAAAGCTTCTGCTCTGTCTTCTCCCCGTCTTTGACAGAGCTAAGATTTGCTGATCTCCTGGGTAATCAGCTACACTGAAGGCTATTAAAAAATAAAAAATGCTGATGAAATGTGTGGTTTCCTCTGCCTTCTGCCTCCTTCCCCCAAAACCTAAACAAAATGAAAAAGTCTTGCCTGGCTGCAGTTTGTTGAAATTCTTTGTCAAGAATCAAAATTAAATGGAGATTTTACGTAGCAGGATTTTTTCTATAACTACTTGATTTTGCAGGAATGTGCAGATCTGAAGTCTGTCTTTGAGAGGAATTTAACTTAGACAAAACTTAAACCTCCGCTATCTCCCATAGCCAGAAGCCAGCTGGGGCAGCAGGGAGGGGAGGCAAAACCCTTGGGTGGAAGGCTGCAGTTTGGCATACAGAGTGTGTTGTTTTTCCTGTTGGTACTGTGTTAGCTAAGCTTCCCCTTCTAATATAAATAATTAATTACAGATCATTTACTGGCTTTTCATGATGAGCTGCTCAGTTATTTGAAAGAGTAGAGAAATGTCTGTGACGTTTCAGAGTAGTCAGTGAGGGCCAGATCAGGATGACACCTCTGTTCTAGCGGGCAAACAGTTTAAGGCTACAAACAAAACCAGCCCAAGAGACCAGAGAACCTCTCCCAGCTCAGGGCAGGAGGGGGAGTGTTATAGCTCCTGGGGCCCTAAGGCAGGGTGGGAGGAAAGCTCCTGGGAAAAGGGAGGGAGGGGAGTTAGTGACTGGGAGGGTGTTTCAGGAGGTGTGAGGTTTGGAAGGAGCGATGGCAGCTGGGGGATGTGAAAGAGTGGTGGGAAGAAAGAATTAGAGAGGATGTAATGGGCAGATTCAGAGGTTCATTCCCACTGCCAAGGAAGAGATCTGGGTGAAGGTGCTGTTTGGAAAGACACTGAGGACACACAGATGCTTCACTTGCTCAGGAAAGAAATTGGAGGAAAAGAATTGTTATCAGAAGAGAAAAAAAGAAATTCTCGTCCCAGATGTAAGCTCAGCCCCGCAAAACCTTCCATTAGTGGGAAATGAAATTAATTCCCCTTGTAATTGGAAATGGCATTTCTCTGATAGCCCGGTGCTGACTATTCAACCCCAGATGAATGCAATAACATCACTAATACCAATTTCTTTTGGAAGCAACAGTCATTTTAGGCCAAAAAAAAAAAAAGTTATACCAGTGATGGATGAAGGGAGACAATGTGTAATAAACTGCACTAAGTGTGCCTGTATAGAGTGAACCTTATCAGTTTGGATGGAATTTAAGCACTTAGCCTGTTATCCTTTCTTTCAAGACAATGCAGTGATGGAAAACAGAGCTCTTGTCAACTCAGACAAACTTTTAATTTCACTTAACTGCATCTGAAAAGTAAATTTCGGTAAATGAATCCAAATTGCTTCCTTTTCACAACACACGGTGCTGAAACACAGTACTTAACTTCATTAAAGAAAAGACTGCTTTTCTTTAGAGGAGACCTAGACACTTTTGAAGTCTAACAGGTAAATTGTGGTCAGATGATTTCCCTCCATATGGTAGCTCTGAGGTTGAAATTTCCATCACTGGGGCCTTGTTTGTTTAAATTACTCTATCCGCCTCCCTGGTAAGGATACTGCTCGGAGAGTGCATGCCTACTGATGCTCATGGGGAGGGGGGATCACTCCCTCCGCCATGCAGCCAAGTAAGCAGTTGCCACCATTGCATTTATTTGCCCTGTGTTCAACCCATGCTGAGGATGCAGCTTCAGGACCTTT